GTGGCGGGGGGGGAGGGCTGAAGGAGGTATGGCGTGTCAGTCAGTTTGGGATCTGCTCTTGTACTTTTGTCCAAGAGGAAGAGGTTGGCAAACAGCTGAACTCTGTGCCTGGACAGATGACGAGGTGGGTGTATTCCTCATCATCTCTCCTCATCTGTATCCCTGTCATGGGGGCTCTGGTTGGCTCATTTCACGTGCATTTATGAAGACAAGAACTTGCAGATCTCTTCCTCTAGAAACAAAGAGCTTGGTCAGAGAGTGGCATCTGCTCCAGCTGGCATACAAACCGCTCTCTTACATTTACTCTGCCTGATGGCCCTCCAGTCTCTTGTATTTGGCCCCTCAGCAGGCAATGTTTCATCTCAAGCTTGAATTTATGTTTCCTCTGGTTGCCCTGTCTTGTCTGCTCCCCCTTAAAAAGGAGGAAGATGAATGAACCTTCAAGGTCTGATAGATCAAGAGCTAACTCGTCTGTGTGTGCTTTCTCTCCCGGCAGTGCCCCCATGTGGTTGGTACTGATGGGAAGACTAGGAATCCACCAGAGTTAGGAGAGAGCTCAGGGTCCCTATGAAAGTGCTTCCCTGTGGGGCCAGCCCTACTAGTCACAAATCAACCCAGCAATGGGGCTACAGGCGCCTGGAGTCCTGCTGCCCTGCCAGGGAGGGACTCATTCGTCAGAAGAGGAGAATGGCTCCCTATTACTGGCACCATGCTTGGCCTGGTGGCGGATGAGGTGGGTAGACTGGGTGAAGGCCTTGCAACACTGCGCGCACTGGTAAGGCCGTTCCCCCGTGTGCACCCGCATGTGCTGGGTGAGCTGCGAGGCATGGCGGAAGGACTTGCCGCAGTCTGAGCACAGGTAGGCCTTCTCCCCGCTGTGGATCTGCTGGTGCCTCTTGAGGGTGGAGGACCGGGCAAAGGCCTGCCCGCACTCGGCGCAGGCGAAGGGCCGCTCGCCGGTGTGGATGCGCTGGTGGCGGATGAGGCGCGAGGACTGGGCAAAGGCCATGCCGCACTCAGAACACTTGAAGGGGCGCTCGCCGGTGTGCAGCGTCTGGTGCTCAAAGAGGTTGGAGGACTTGGTGAACGACTTGCCGCAGATGGCGCAGGAAAAGGGGCGCTCCCCCGTGTGGATGCGCTGGTGCTCTACCATGCGGCTGGCCACGGCAAACTCCTTGCCACAGTCTGGGCAGTGGAAAGGCTTCTCCCCCAGGTGGGTGCGTTGGTGGCGCAGTAGCGAGAGCGGCTTGTTGAAGGTCTTGCCGCACTCCTGGCAGGGGAAAGGTTTGTCATTGCAGTGCATGTTGCGCTGGTGTTTGCGCAGGTCTGAAGAGCGCACAAAGGCCTTCTCGCAGTCCAGGCACTTGTAGGGCTTCTCGCCGGTGTGCGTGCGGATGTGTTTGCGGTAGTCCGAGGACCAGGTGTAGGCCTTGACGCAGAACGGGCACTTGTAGGGGCGCTCGCCTGTGTGCAGCCGCCTGTGCTGCTGCAGGGTGCCCTGGTGTGAGTAGGCCTTGCCGCACAGCTCACAGGCGTACGGCTTGGCCCCGCTGTGTGTGTCAATGTGGCTCAGGAGGTTGCTGGATTTCTTAAAGGCCCGTCCACACTGCATGCATTTATAAGGCCGCTCCTCCCCCTCGCTGCTGGGCACCTGCTGCAGGCCAGTCCTGACCCTCCTCACTGTGGCTGCCTTCAGGGCCCCGACGCTGCCCGCTATCTCAGCTGGCTTGTTGGCAGATTTCAGGTTCAGCCTCTTCACTGCTCTCTGGCTTTTTGGGGGAAGCTCTTTGCTTGGATCCAAGTCCATACTTGGATTTCCTGGAAACACCCCTCCTTCTCCGTTCCTGGTCACGTAGCTCTTGATGCTTTCCATGCCACTGCATTGCAGACTGTCGCTGGTTGGGGTGTCCACATCACTGTCTAGGGTAACCACAGTCTCCACGTACCTGCCACAAACCTTTATGCCGTGCGGGCTGTGCCGAAGAACAGCAGGTTTCCTCACTGGCCGGCTGTGCCACTTCTGACACAGAGTCTCCTGGCTGCTTTCCTCATCATCCTCATTGCTCTTCGTGTGAAGACTGACCATCATGTTCAACTTCTTGGCCACCCCCTTGGCATTGATAAGAGTGAAGGTCTCATAAAAGACCTCATCTTCCTCACACAGAAGACCCTCTGGCATGCTGTCTCTCGGCATGGAGCTGCTGGACTCTGGATCGTGTTCCTTCCGCATGCCGTTCCGAAAATAATGACTGTAGCTTTCCTCTGCATCCTCCGCACCCCCGCTCTCATCGTTTGCACACCATGTGTTCATGGTCCTCTTCCTGTCCTCAAGGGATCTCTGAGCCACGCATCTTCCTCACACAGAAGACCCTCTGGCATGCTGTCTCTCGGCATGGAGCTGCTGGACTCTGGATCGTGTTCCTTCCGCATGCCGTTCCGAAAATAATGACTGTAGCTTTCCTCTGCATCCTCCGCACCCCCGCTCTCATCGTTTGCACACCATGTGTTCATGGTCCTCTTCCTGTCCTCAAGGGATCTCTGAGCCACGCTGCTGCCGGGGCCTTCCTGGGCCAGCCTCTCAGAGCATTCTGCGCTTGCCATTTTCCACTGCTGCTGCTTCTGAATATCTGCTTTCAGGGTCCTTCAGTCTGAAGCTGACCTCAGGGTAAGTGACCTGCATTTTGGAACGAGAGAGAATGAAAAGGAGATGGGGACATTTGCAAGGAACAGAAAGCAATGGGGGATCATTGCTACACAGACACCCAGAGAGAGGTCCCACTTGAGGTAGGGGCTTACTGTGCTAGGTGCTTACAAAGAGGGGTGGATCTTTTCTTCTTCAAAGAGCAGGGAAAAGACAAGACTGGCTACAATGAGAGAGAGAAAACAAACAAGCAGCATGCTAGAGGTGATCTTGGAGATGTACTAATTTTAGTGTATTCCTAAAGCTTACCCATGGGCAGCTCATCCGTTTGTTACTTTGTTCTAGCCCACGGTAAGGTTGTTTTCGTTTTTATCTTTTCTATTTTAAAGCCATTGACTCTTCTGTGTTTTCACAACAGCGCGTCTATTTTTCTGCTTTCTAAACACAGGAGCACCAGGAAGCAAACAGATGCTCTTCATTACGACAGCCCTGATGCATTATGGTGCTGGATATCAAACCGCTGCAGGGAGCTAAGACATCTAGAATGCTTGGCAAGGAACACAAGATAATTTCTCTGACAGAAGGTCTGACTCAGGAGAGTTCTGGGAACCAAACCACAGTCGCTCTCTGTCTTATGGTGACTCAGATGCTTGGAGGACAGGATACGGACAGGGGCAGCCTGCCCATTCAAAGTTTCGCCACAGAAAGAGGGCAAGAAATCAGAGAACGGACTTTCAGAACCTCAGTTCTCCTCTTCAACAACGCCACGTTTTCCTCCCTTGCTTTGCTGCAAGATGCACGGAAAAAATGACCACAAATAAGCTAATACAGTCTCCTGCCATCCTGAAGGTGTGTTTACCTCTCTGAAGCTCTGGAATGTGCAGTGCCTATAGCTGGACACAAGATCCCTACGGGAATCACTCCCTGGATGCAGAGGGTACACTTGCCACTTGTGGTGGAGCAAAAGGGGCACTGCCCACCTCAACTACTCAAGGATCTATGCTGGGGTGGGGGTCACAGTTTTTTTCACTAAAGGGGGGGGTGATTTATGGGCAGGTTTAGGGCTCTGCACTTAGCAGGTGTTTGATTCAGCCTTCAGAGCACCGTGCGTAATGCCCCGCCCAGAGTTCATGCGAAGTGTGGGAAAGAAGCAAGACATTCTACCTCTAATGCTACTGGATGGCAGAACAAACACGGATTGGCCAACCCACTCAAGCTGTCTGTGCTAAGGGGGGCAAAAGTGCACCTAAGCCAGTAGTTCTTAACCTATTCATCATTGTGGGTCGCATATGTGGGCCATGGAGTATTGATTACCTGGGTCACAGGCTGAGAACCACAGAGCCGCCCCACCTCCCTATGCTGCTATGCCAAACACACCCAGGCTATGTCTACACTGGCAGCCTTTTCCGGAAATGCTTAAAATGGAACAGTCTTCCGTTATAAGTATTTCCGGAAAAAGTGCGTCTACCTTGGCAGGATGCTTTTCCGGAAAAGCACTTTTTCCGGAAAAGCGTCCGTGCCAATCTAGACGCGCTTTTCCGCAAAAAAGCCCCGATCGTCATTTTCGCGATCGGGGCTTTTGTGCGGAAAACACTACTGTGCTGTCTACACTGGCCCTTTTCCAGAACAGTTTTCCAGAAAAAGGACTTTTGCCCAAACGGGAGCAGCATAGTATTTCCGGAAAAGCGGCTGATTTTCCGGAATAAGTGGCTAGTGTAGACACAGCCCCAGCCCAGAGACCTCTCCACAATGGAGGGCCAGAAGCAGAGCCCCGGTGGCAGCCCTGAGCCTTCTGTCCGGGACCAGCTAGTAGCCATGTTCCCAGACCCACACTCAGCCATGTGGGGCCAGGCAGTAGCCCCAACCCTGGACCCCAATGTGGGGGGCCAGGAGCAACCCCGGACTCCAAAATGCAGGGGTTAGCGATAGCCCATCGTTGGCCCATGGGCAGCGGCTGTGTGGTACTTGGGCGGCATGCGGGCACACACTGAGAACCCTGACCTAATCCATGACAGAATCACAAAGGAACGTGACTCTCCAGTAACAGTGGCCAATGCAGAAAACTCATTCTCCGCCATATAAACAACCCAGGGATGCTGACACTAGGGAGTGCTCCTCCCAGGCACCAACTGCAACCCACAAACCGCTCCCCTCACTTCTTTCTCCTTCATCTAATTTTGCAGCCTTCCCAGAGCTGCCTTGGATCATTTACACGAGATTGGCCACCACACCAGCAATCTCCCCAGCGCTGCTTCCCTCACCGCTCGCAGGCATCTGTGGGACACAAGCACCTCTCTGCTTCGAGCAAGCTCCTCCTGGTACCCGGGGAAATCTGGACCGAGTAGCACAGTCTGTCCAAGTCACTGTATGACACAGGGAGCATGCACAGAGATGTCTGTAGAAATCCACAGCCACCCACAGGGGGAGGGTGACCTCTGCTGATCTCCAGCAGCCTGAAAAAGCAGATTGGGTCCCAAACGCAATGCGTGGACTGCCGGGAGGAAACCAGTCTGGCTGCAGCAAGTACCAGGTGTCAGGCCTGAAAGCACATCTGCCTCCAGCTTGTCCCTTCTGAAATTTGTTCAGAACCTCCTCCCCACCCGTCCATTTCTCCTTCCCTCTTGCTTTCTGGCCTGCCTCTCCCCCTTGCTCAGTAAGCCCAGGGCTAGCGGCAATGACTCACCCTGGTATTGGAGTGCAGGTGTGTCCCACACGGCTGCCCCCGGGGGATCATCTGCTCCAGATTATAAGCCAGGAAAGGCGAGGAGTCTGGTGCAAAGCAGCAGTGGCAAACGTGCCAGTGTCTGTCTCACCCTTTTGTGTCCAGTCTAGCAGCTGCAGAGCCTCAGGAGGTGGGGCCTGTGAATACACACAACCTTCCTGCCTGCATCACAGAGAGCAGCCTGGGAAATGCAGCAGGGCTGCCCTGTCTGACTGCCTGACGGAGCCAGTCTTCCCGTCCCCTCCTCCCTCCCCAGAGCCCAGGGATGGAAGTGGACCCTGGAGCCACCCATGTAGCTCACCTCCCTCGCCCTACAGTGCAGTTACTGTGCTGGTTTGGTCCACTCCGAGTTGAAAGGCGGCTTCTACTTTACTTCCACTAGGAGATTAACCCAAAGGCAAAGAGAGTCCCCTGTCTGAGAGCGTTTCCTGAGCATCATCCTGCATGCTCCTGTGTGAACTCCGTCCTATCACTCTGCCTTGGACCCTATTTTATTATGCTAAATAATCTCCCTCCTTTCCTCCCTCGTATTTACACCATTCAAATATATATGAGCTCCAGTTAATTCTTGCTTAGCCACAGGGTAAACCAATCACTCCAGGCCAGCCCCCAAATCCCGGTGTGTCTCTTTGCCGTGTCTGAACCTTCCCGCAGTCCGCTGTTCTCCCTCTCCTTCCTCCCCTGACTTATATCACACATGCGGCTCAGTCCTCTAACTCCTGCGGTAGTGATTCTCTTCCTCTCTCCAGGAATTACAGTTTGAACCTTTATTTCGCTGTTTAAATGCTCTGGCGTCTTCTGCTTGCAAAACCCACTTTTTTATAAAAAGATCACCTCCTACCCAGTCATACTGGGAGGGGGCGGGAATTCTGGAACTCCAATGTCTTCCCTTGCCAGGAGCAGAAACAGACACATTTGACTTTCTTGACACTGCCCTGTAGAACAATCCATGTTCCCCTCCACTCCCTCACCTAAAACACTCACCTTGAGAGGTGTATGTCTGGTGCATTTGAACTCTTGGATAGCTAGCTACTCGTGACGTTGAAACTGACCAGGTCACTTTCGCCCCCAAACCACAAGGTCAGTGGCCCATCTTGGTATGGAGTGGTGTGGTATGGCATGGCCTTTGAGAAATGCATTAGTGGTTTCAGGCTTTTTTCTAATGGCCAGAATAGATGTCTGCTCTGAAGTGCACCATCACAACTGATGCGAATTGGCATTCTTGAGGGTGGACTGAATGGGCCCTTGAAAATCCATTTCTCCTTTAAAAAAAATGGTTTTGGACCAGCTCCAGGGAAAAGTTCCTTTCTGACCCTCACAGGCAATTAATTTTTACCTTGGACTATGAGCTGTGGTAGTTTTTATGATTACCTTCCAATAATCATGGCATGAAATTACTTGTTCTCTTAAAATTCAGCCACAGTGCTTGAAATGCTTCTGTGACGTTTTATTATTCTCTGAGGTGGGCTTCAGTGGTTGCAATACCTGCATGAAGAGTTTCCAGATGCTATTTCTGGTTCATAAAGAGTTGCATGAGTCATGCTAAAATAATCTTTTAGAGACATGTACTGTGTGGGAGTGGGGATCAGATGGGCCAGGGGGTTTGCTGGCAGAGAGGGCTACAGAGGGCATGAGGGAGAGCATTATTCATGGATGGATGTCTAGTTATGGAGGAATATGGTCTGAAGTCTATATTTTGAGCTGGATATGAGAGTACAAGCGGACAGTCCTAGGACCTTACATGGGGAATTTGGGGGAGCCTGGGAAGTGGGATCAGCGGGCATGACTGTGAGGATGAGACCTAGATGTTGGTCAGAGAGGAACAGCCTGACATAGTTAGGAGAGGTGTTATTATTTTAATCACTCGTTTGTGTGTGTCTGCAATACTGATGCTGAAGTTCTGCATGTATTTTTAATTTTGTTCCATTGACAATCAAAAATATAGGCACGAATTCCATCAAACTCTGATCTCTCCACACACATACACACTTGCATTTGCCCCTTCCCATTGTACACAGCACTTCCCTGCACTTAATACATAAATTCATAACTTCACAGGAGGCCAGACCTCCTGTATATCACAGGCCATTAAACATCACTCTATATACCCTTAGAAATGTAGCCGTGTTAGTCTGGTGTAGCTGAAACAAAAAACAAAAAACAGGACTATGTAGCACTGTTTTCTATATACCCTTGTGCACATACTTCCAGTAAGCCCTAATGCGCACATCACACACTTACACACCTGCCCTTAGGCACTGGTGCATGCATGTCTACAGAAAGTACACAACTGTAGATGCATGTCCCTGCACACCACATGTTCATAGACAACCACATGCACTACACGGTTCCAGCGCCCTACCAATCAAAAGAGTTTAGCTCTGCCTCTGAACCCATGTCCCTTCTGCGCTGGGGTTTGAATACCAGCACCCAAACAAGCAGGCTGCACCCCACCACAGGTCTAGTCTCACGTGTTCCTGTTGCTCAGTTCAGCTGTCAGGACAGCTGAAGTTTAGATAGACCCAGAGGGGTTTTTCATCACATCAATGTTTATTCTGGCTAGAGAAGAGACAGGAGTAGTTACTGGGATTTCATTTCATCACAGGGAGGTGACAATGTCTCAGCTACTTGGCTGCTCTGCAGAGCTTAGGTTCTAGATGGCTGCTCACATGGCTTCGTTTCTTACCACAAATAGGGACTCTTCCAAAGCTGCTGCTAACATGATCAAGCTCAGCCAGTGGGAGCAGGTCATACAGATCAGCTGTGGCTACTGTACCCCCACCTTCCTGCCAGCAAGACTAGAGTGGGAGGTGATCACAACAGTCCAGAGACTCTGGCAGCAGGACTGGAAGAAAAAGAAATGTACAGGCTGATTGCTTTGCTGCTGCCAACACTCTCCTAGCAGCTTGCAGTCCCAGAAATCCCACGAGTGGGTTTGTAACAGGGGCCATTTGGAGAGAGAAGGGTCAGTGTGGAGAGACTGATTCCCGATCAATCATTTTACATTTTTGATGGAAATTTTCTGAAAAAAAATTTTTTGGATCAAATTGTGGCTGGAGGAGAAAAAGTGATCGATTTTTTTGGAAATAAGGCTTTTGGTTAGCATCAGGCATCCGTGCAAATAATCAAAAGTCTGAATTTGAAAAGTATTTTGCATGAATATCCTGCAGTACTATCTTAAGATATGCTGCTTTGGCAAATATTCCCGCCAGTTACCATATTTGCGAGATGAGCTGCTGAACGCTAACACAAAAGGAGTGAGGAAACAGTCAGTGAAAGCATTTGAAAACATGAATCGATAGGCCCCGCTGTGTTCACCCAGCTTAAACTGAGTTATGGGGTACGTCTACACTACAACGTTAATTCGAACGAACTTAGTTCGAATTAGTTAAGTCGAACTAAGCTAATTCGAACTAACGGATCTAGACTAAAAAACTAGTTCAAATTAGCGTTTTGCTAATTTGAACTAGCATGTCCACATTAAGTGGACCCTGAACCAGGCTTAAGGATGGCCAGAAGCAGTGCCGGCAGGACATCAGAGGAGGTCTACACTACAACGTTAATTCGAACGAACTTAGTTCGAATTAGTTAAGTCGAACTAAGCTAATTCGAACTAACGGATCTAGACTAAAAAACTAGTTCAAATTAGCGTTTTGCTAATTTGAACTAGCATGTCCACATTAAGTGGACCCTGAACCAGGCTTAAGGATGGCCAGAAGCAGTGCCGGCAGGACATCAGAGGAGGACTTATTGCGTGGAGATGCTGTCTCAGGCTAGCCGAGGGCTGTGCTTAAAGGGTCCCGACCCCCACCCCGGACAGACAGTTCTCAGGGGTGCCCCGCTTGCAAAGCAGTCCTGGCTTGGAGTGCCCGGAGTACCCACACTGGGCACATCACACCACTCGGCCATCAGACCGGCTGCACTTGCCGCAGGCTGCCATCTGGGGAGAGGGGGCAATTGGGGGGCTGCAGGAGAGGTTCCACCCCAAAAGCCCGCAGAGCCAGCCCAGTCCTCCCTATCGGGGGC